GCCAGGCAGTACCACTTACAGAAAGCAGAAAGCCTGCTCCTAGGTCTGCTGCTGATGCAAGACTGTGAAAGTTTGAGACTCAATAGAACCTTTATTCAAAGAGAATCACTTTGTTCCGGGTCTAGAGCGGTACCTACCAGAATTGGTTGTACTATCATTTTTCCTTTGGGTTTCAGACTTGTGATATAATTCCTGTTTTTTATTTTGGAAAATACCAAGTTGGTTAATTAACTTGCTTATTTTAAATTAATCTCCTAATTGTCTGTTAATAAAGGACGCATACATGGCTACAGAGATGATGGCATGGTGTTTAATGGCATCTTGTAGAGAACTGAAGTCAGTTCTCAGCACTCACATGGTTGCTCACAACCATTAATAACTTCGGTTCAAGGGTCTCCATCACCTTCTTCTTGCCCCTGCGCGCACTACACACATGTGGTACAGAGACTCTTGCAGGCAAAATACTCAAAAAAATTTTAAGTAAAAACAAAACATATATTGGAAAAATATGAGAAAATTATAAGACATGTATGTATATAATTTTATACAGTCTAACCACATGTGTATATATGTGTACAGTCATAGAGCCAGAAGATATATATACTACACATACATTTATTTATCCATGTAAACGCATACGAGAATATACATATGTAAGTGCAAATAAAGAGAGCCATCAAAAAAGTAACACATCCCGACGGTGGAGGAGACAATGCTCACGTTCTTCCAAGGACGCTGCTGTACATTTCACAGTCTAGATGAAACATGTTACCAGGTCTGCCACTTAAAGCAACTACTTACAGTGCTAAGGCTGTCCTCCGAGGTTTGTACATGCTAGATAAACATTCTCTCACTGAGCCACAGACCTAGTAACAGATCCTAGTTTAATAGATTCCACCAGTGTTGAAGGGTCTAAGCCCTACAGGTACTCTCTTAACATGCCAAGTTGTTCGCTTGGTTGTTGTTTAGTTTCATTTTATTAATATGCTAATAACAAACCAGTGCATTTCACGTTGCTATTTCATTCATGTATACAATACCCTTTAACCCCATTCATCCCCATGGCCCCTCTTGGCCTCTCCCATTGCTGATCCTCTCCCACTTTTCCCCTTGGAGAATCAACTGAAGCAGCGGGACAACTTTCCAGTAGCTACACTACTAAACAAAGTATTTCTAACTCTCCTCAGATCCCACTAATTGCCCACAGATCCTCAGGGAAAGACTGTGACTTTGAGACCCTCTCCCCTAGCAACCTTTAACTGCCTACAAGTCCTCAAGGAGTGGCAGAGCCTCACGAGATGCTTCCTGCTCTGTGACAGAATGTTGGTGAGCCAAATCTTACACTGGTTTTGTGTAGGTAATCAGAGCTGCTTGAAGTCAGAAAGGGTAGGAGCCATGTAATGCCCAGAAGACAACAGAGTCCCACATAACTCTAACCTCTCCTCTGGCTCATACATTCTTTCTGCCCACTCTTCCATGACGTCCCTGAGTCTTGGAAGGGGTAATAGAGATGTCCCATTTAGGACTGAGCAACTCATTTCTGAGTCTTGATGAGTTACGTGAGAGCCTCTTACTTAAATGCTGCCCAGAGCAAGGAGAAGGTTCTCGGAGCAGAGCAAACAGAATGTGGCTATGGGCAAGGCCAAAACACACGGAAAGCATCTGGTGGGCACATCACAGTCAAACATGAGAAGTAACTTCCCCCACTCATGTCTACAATCTCCTTAGCCCTGAGTTTCTGACCAGGTTTGTAGTATTAAATGTGGATTCCCTTCTGAGGAATGGGCCTCAAATCCAATCAGAAAGTGGAAGGAAGCCTGTAGAATCCTTCTCTCAAGTTTCAGACTTCAAAGAGTAAAAGTCTTTGATACTGAAAATAAAGAGTCTGCTTCAAAGGAGAGAGGAGATTGAAGAACTTTAGGGCAGGATAAACTTCCTGTTTCTTTAAATAGCTAAGCATGTGTAATGCTGTGCTCTGGCCTACCTGGGTTGCCCTCCCTAGCCTTGTGCACTGGGAAACACTTATCATCTTCCAAGACTCAGTTCAAGTACCTCTTTTCCCACTCTCCTTACGGCATCACAGTTCCCTGAAGGACCTCCTGCCATAGCACCTCGGCCCACACTTGGCACTGGGTTCCCATGGCTGTCCTGCTCCTTAAGACTATGATCTTCCCTATTTGGGGACCCACATGAAAATATCACCTGCAAATTATAGGTAACTTTGTTAATGAACACTTGTAAGAAACACTGAGGTGATCTCCCTAAGTGAGGGGCCAGAGGAAAGAAGTCAGTATTGTCATGCCTGCCTTGCAGGCTTTCCCTGCCTAGACTCAGCCACTCAGGGTTTCTATAGCTCTCCTGCCATTCTCTCCAACCAATCCCATTTTCTGGGTAGATATCTGACCTTCCTATTAGCTACTGCCTGCTTTATGACATCATTCTCCTCCAAACTTATCAGCACCCATTAGAACTTTGGAGCTTCCACGGAATCGTCCATAAGCAAGCTGGATAACACCATGTGATGAGTGACTAGTCTCCATAGTGGACACATAAGGTATTAGCTTCAGCAACCCAGACAAACCATATTACTGTATTCTTAACCCCTGAGGCTCTGACTGACATCATTACCTCTTCTCTGTGTCAGGAGATACTCATCTTCAAACAAGATGGAGCTCAGAACAACAGATTCTTCCAATGTGGCTGTATTCTCAAGGCAGAAATCTGAATCAAAGGCTTTTGGTTCTGATGCCTGACCATGGAAATATCACCCTTCTACCCAAAGACAGGTGAAGATCCTTCCCCAGCTTGAGAACGCAGTGGAATTCAATCCTCCACCCTGTCAGTACACCCACTCTGGAGCAAGTCATCTCTATGGCATCCATTTACTCTAAAGCGAGCAACACTGAATATGCCTTTTTCTTCTACAGCAAGTACCTCAAGTCCTTCATACACCACGTCCCTGGATATCAGGATCAAAAGTAGTCGTCATTCCTGACAGTCAAAAATTACTGGACTTGCTTTACCTAGGCAGAGAGGCCTGAGGCGGGTTTGGAGACACACATCAAAGAAGATGGAAACTATAAAGAGAAGGTGGGAGAGTCGGAATGCTCCCAGCACATGGGCAGCACATGGCCACCCTGCAAGCTCTGGGGAAAGAGAGCAAAAGCCGCACCCGTTAGAACAGAAACAGTTCCATGCCTTTGAGGAGATGATCCAGAACCAGGAGCTGGAAAAAGAGAGACTAAAAATTGTGCAAGAGTTTAGCAAGGTGGGGCCAGACCCAGACGCTGCTGGGGCCTGACTCAGAAAAGCCTCTGATGAGTATTCACAACCCCTGTGTTATCTACAGGCTTCAGACTGTAACACAGCTAGAAGGCTAGCTAAGTCAGCAGTGGTAGACAGGCCTTTGAGACCTCGAGTGCTGAGCAACAGACGTGGATCCCATTCTATGCATGGTACCTTGGTCTACACCAAGTTTCCCCAGTTCACTGATACTAATACTACCCGTGATATAGAAACAGGGTACTCTGTGGGAAGCTGATGAAAGAAGATGTCACCATTATACACATTATCCCAGATGAACTGCTGGGTCTGATTACTGCAACACTGAGAATGAAGAAGACATTTTCTTCCTACAGGATATACCAGGTATGCTCATACCTGGGTGGATTTACACTCCCTCACACAGCCAGCCTTCCTCTCCAGTGTGTAGACGTTCATTCACTGCTCTTAGCAGGCGACGTTGACAGTCAACAGCTGCTGTCTGGCCCCCTGCCCCACGGTTCAAGGAAACAAAGCCATCTAAACTGACAGACTCCAGGAGATTTCTGTTCTTATAAAGGCTTTCATACAACAACAGCACTGTGGTCATGTAACTGTTAAGGACTAGGCTGTGATTGCCACAGACGAGTCTCATCCTCCTAAGAGCTACAAACCCAAGTCAATTTACTACTGCACTTGAATTTAAGTTTTCCAAAGAGATCTGGAGACAACAAATAGGGCCAATGGCAGAGAAAGACTGATTTGGGGGGGGGTTGTTCTTTTAAAAACAAAACATTGGGTATATTTTTTTTTTTTTCGAGACAGGGTTTCTCTGTGTAGTCCTGGCTGTCCTGGAACTCACTTTGTAGACCAGGCTGGCCTCGAACTCAGAAATCTGCCTGCCTCTACCTCCCAAGTGCTGGGATTAAAGGCGTGCGCCACCACTGCCCGGCTGGGTATATTTTTAATACAAATTTGAAAGAGGAAACCCATCACACTAAGCAACTAATTCAAAAATTAGGTGAAAACAGAGAGCATATTTCTGCCCTTCTAGACTCAAGTATTACCCACCCTCCTCATCTCTACCCATCAACCTGACCACTGCCGACCTCTGCGCTCAAGAACAGCAGCTGCAGAGAGACCTGAGAGCCATTTAGAAATGTCTGAGTTCTCCCTCAGCTTGTGGCAGTTATTGGGGCAACTACTGGAGTCAAGTTGGGCTGAGTGGTTGGCTGCCCGGTTTTGTCAGCTCCCCATTCCCGTGTTTAGGGTGTCAGTTGTTGTTGAATGGAGGTCTTTTCCCACAACAAAAGCAGCCTTGAATTTCCTTGTTCCTCTCTCTAGACCCTGTTGCCACTGTTACTGCCTCCTCTGCTTTAACAAGGCAGTCACTGTTCACTGGGATTTCTGCTTATACATTAAGATCCCAACTTTAACCACTAGCAACTTTATATTAAACCCAGGCCCCTCTGGTAGGATAGCGAGTCTTTAGTCTTCTGGGTTTTCAGCCTTTTGATCGAAATCCAGATTCCAATTAGGATCTCCCAGCTTCAGCAAGTCATGTGATCTCACATGCCCCCTTCTGGTGAGGAGAAGCAATACCTCAGCTCCTAGGGCGGATCTAATTGGAAATGTGCCTAACACCTAACAGTGACAACGGTTTAGGGAGAAGCTAGGGATTGGAGGCACATCTGTGAACTGAATGAAAAAAAGAAATAAAAGGAGAACATGACTGCTCCTAAGGGGCTGAAGTTTTTATTATAGATATAAGGGAGAAAACAGGTAGAGATGGAGACATCTGGGAGAGTCCAGAGTGGACGCGGACAGACTGAGCCACGCCATGTGACCAGAGGGGGAAGGACTGCGAGCGAGAGAGGAGCTGCAGACCAACCAAGATGGGCAGCCAGGATCAAGAGACAGCTGTAACCAAAACTGGTGACTTATACAGGGGGCCAGAGGAGCTGGGAGGCAGGGAGCCCAGACCAGTACTTGGGCTGGAGAATTCAGGGAAGGAGATAGGGTATGCCAGCCAGGAGGACCTCAAACAGGTAGGTACTGAGGAATGCTGGGAGAACCTGGCCACCAGTGTCTGCTTTGATATGTTAATAGGCATCTGAGTTAGCCTAGTGAGTTTGGTTTGAAACCGAACTCAAAGGAAGTGCACAGAGGCAGGGAAAGCTCCTGAACAACTAAATGCTCAAGACAACCATCCCAGAGAGACCACCAGCCATCTTTGAATGCTTTGCCGCTCACACTGGGAGTTCAGTAAACAGGAGATGTTTGCTAAGTGACCAGACAAATGAAGGAAGAACATGTGCACCTGCCAATGGGTCGCTTACACACAGAAACCCTCCCTAGCACACAGAAAGCCTGCTCCACATAGCAGCAGATTCTAACTGTCCTAAGCCACAGGCATCTCCTATTTGAGCCCAGAAGTTGGTAATCTTATTCAAAAGCAAGATATGTGCCCCACCCATAACTCTGTGACAGCTGAAGAACATGTGAGACCAGGCCTCATGATAAACTGAAATGTAATGACAGTCACTGAACACCAGACATATGCAGCGAAGAAAACAACTCTTAGTCAGGAAGAGCCATTAGGGAAGTAGTCCTCAAAGACTTTTGATTCTGAGCTTCCCAAAGGAAGATAGAAGGAAAGAAAACAGGAAAGTCATCACTGGTCTGGAGCATCCTGGATTCCTGGTCCTGAAGCCTCAGTTAGAGATTCTGAAGCAAAGGGACATGGGTAATCACCCAGCCTATAATCCCACTATCCAGTAGTGTGCCCCCAGGACAGGGGTGATAGAGAGGACAGCTGTACACTGTCCCAGGTTCCGCACAGCAGTGTATTCTGGAATCTTGTGCTGCAGTCCCCACTTCAATCTCACTCTAACTATAAACTCAATCCTGTCTTTTCAGGACACAGCATAAGTAAAATAAGACTACATAACATGTTTACCCATGCTGCCATCTTCCTATAGTATCTGTGAGCCAGCCCTAGGGGTGGGAGGTGAACACACTGAGCAATCAAATGAGCCAGAGAGTCCAAGGAGAAGGTGGCCTTGAACTCCCAGATTCCCACACCCTCGCTGACAGAATCAGCTTGGCTCATGGAACTAGGTGGGACCATTTGCTTGCCCACCACAACTGAGGAGACAGAGCTGAAGGGGGGTTAATCTTCCTCAGTGTTTCTTTCCTCTCCATCCAGCCACATGATACAACATCAGTGTCTCGGAAGCCAGTTTCTTGGTTACCAGAATCCAGCAGCCTCCACCTCAGGATTGGCACACCTTCAGCTCTTACATGACTGGATTCATCTATGCCTCCTCCACGGATGTGTGCAGACACTCAGGTACATCCTGGGGTGGCTTTCTCCTGCTGTCCGCAGCACTTGCAACACTCCCGGCTCCCTTCCACTGCAAACAATATGATACAACTACGAACTGAGAGCCACAGTAACTCAGTCCACATCTACAGCTGAACAGTGAGTACTAGACATATAACAGGTACAAATTACCATAAACTTGTTGTTTAGAACAAGAATTGTGATAATGGGTGCTTAGAATACCAGCATTAGGGGGGTGACAGGAGGGGGATTGTGAGTTTGAGATCAACAAGACCCTATGGCAAAACAAGAGACCAACTATGATGGTGCATAATCTCAGAAGCTGGGAGGTAGAAGCAGGGGAATCAGAAGTTCAAGGTCACCCTTGGCCACATAGCAGTCAAGGCCAGCCTAGGCTATATGAGACTATAACAAAAACAAAAAATGAACATTGTGTGGTTGCACAACATTACATTATATATAAAGCCACTCGACTGCCCAGGTGGGAATGGTAAAAAAAAATGGCCATGGCAGCCCAGCCCTCTAATCCAAGCCTTTGGAAAGCAGAGGCAAGGACTGAGGCCTTGTGGGATACATGGTGAGACCTCACTTCCAAAACATAAAAAATAGTAATAAGGGTTACACAGGAAGTCTTGTTATGAAAATAGCAATCGAAATGCATTTTGACACTTTGGTTGTGAGCCTAACTAACAGCTGAAGCATCTCTCCAACTGTACCAACAGTAAACAGAAGATCTTTGGGGACATTTAAAGCAACAGCAAGCAAAAAGACCTAGGGCTAAGTCTAAGGAAGTGGCCATGGGGCTTCCTCCCCACTGCTGCATGCTTCACAGCATCAACTGTGGAGAGGTGTGGAGTCCAGCAATGACAGGCGAGTTTTCAAATGTGGTATATACGCACAGTGACATGCTACTCAAGTCACACAGAAAGGAAGATAGAACCGAAGATCACGCTAAGCAAAATAAGCCAGACTTGAACAAATACTACGTTTCCTCATGTGTGGAATCTAACTGTATAAATGTGTGTTTGGGACATCAGAGCAGAGAGAGAGATCACTTGGGAAAAGGGAGAAGACAAACAGAATGGGGAGAAGGGTAGGAGAGAACACGGGGACAAGAACAAACGAGAGTGACATTTATATATGAAAGGCCATAATGAAAACTCACTACTTTGCATGTTAACTGAAAACCCTGAAGGCAAGCAAGACTTCAAACCTGCAAAGTACACAAAATACTGTTCCGTGCTGCAGCACCAGGGGCAGAACAGGCTGGTTCTCCCTTGACTCCTGGGTGCAGTTCACTTCGTTATTTTTCTTTTTTCATCATCTTTAGCAGTATTTTTGTTTGCATGCTGGGAAAATCTGCCCCACACTTTCTAGTTTCCATTTCTGTTTCTTTTCTGAAGAATCAATCCTTTTCTTTTGTTTTCAATTGTTCCTCTCTTCCGTGCCGTCATTCTTCAAAAACAGAAAATCATGATTTTAATGCAAGACATTTAAAAAGCATCACTCTCTAAGTAAGATATCTACAACAGACAAAATCCTATAGAGAAAACAGGGTTGGGAGAGGAAAACAAGAAACCTGTTGTTTAAAAGGGTAGGGACTTCCTGTTTGAGAAAAAACAGGAGGATCCCAGAGCTCTCCGACCAGCCAATCAGTGAGTGCTGGGTTTGGTGTCAAATCTTGTCTCAAAAGGTGGATGAACTGAGAACCAGGCACATACTTTTAATCCCAGCCCTGGGGAGGCAGAGGCAAGTGGGTCTCTGTGAGTTCAAGGCCAGCCATGGTGAGCTCCAGGACTACATGGAGAAACATTGTCTTGCGGGGGGTGGGGGGTGGAGGGGTGTTGTGACTGGACAGATGAAAGGGCTCATCCACAAAAAGCACTTTACAGTGCAAACCTGGAATCTGTGTCAAGGTGAAAGGTAAGAGCTGACTTCACAAAGTTGTTTTCTGACCTCCACTCATGCTGTGGGACAACCATGCTAAAATATACATACATACATACATACATACACACACACACATATACAGACCATACAGTACCGTAACAGTAAATAAGTTTTTTAAATGGAAAGAGCTAGAGAAAAACACCTTTATACATGTGGGTGCACACTCACCCAGTGACAATCTTATTATTTAAATGAATAGGGGGAAAAGGCTGGAGGAGAAGGAAGAAGAGGAGGAGGAACAGGAGACCAAGATACCTCCTGAGAACACAGAAAGTTTAGGCTGGTCATTCTTCCAGAAGACCTGGGTTCAATTCCCAGCCCTGAATGATAGCACACAGCGATCTAATGCCAGCCTGGGGAGTCCAGTGCCCTCTTTAGGCCTCATGGGCACTGTACACACATAGTGCCCAGACATACACACAGGCAAAACACCCAGACATGTAAAATAAAAAGGTAAAAAAAAAAAGAAACATAATTTTTTTTCAAGAAAAAAAAAGTGACATACACAGATGCACATAGCCCTGCCCTGAGATTCCAGAGCTCAGTGCCTGTCTGCTGGCCTCCAGCCACAGCCGCATCCCAGAGGGCCCTCTCACTGGAGACCTGCCCTCAAGTCCTTGCAGGACACCTTCCCTCTCACCGCAGTGCTCCATGCTCACCACCATCCCTCCCCACATTACAGCAGAGGCCATCTCTTATCCACTCCTCACTGGAAGTCCAGTGCTGCACTAGACACACTAGAACATTCCCTCCTCTGTAACCACTGGGTCACTCTATCGACAGGACTCACGGACAAGTGACGGAGGCTTACAAATGAGGCAACCTGCCCCAATTTAAACTGTAAGGTGAGCCAGCCCTTTGCTTATTGCTAACTCATAAGCACCGTCTACCGTAACCTTAGGTTACTTTGTTCCAGCAGTCTGCAGGCTCGTGTGGGTGCTGAGTGCCCAGTTGATAGGTGCTGTACGAGATCAAAAAAGTTAGGCCTATGACGCTGTTCTCAGGGAAGACACAAACTCATTGCCAATACTTATCTTCTCCATCACAACTTGCTGTGCCAGATAACACCCGAAGGCCTCCCAGAGTCTCTCCCACACTCAGCAAGTGCATATGCGAGCACCAGAGAGATAAGTACCGTGTGCAAGCCAGTGGCATTCAAAAGCCTGCACTACCGGAGTACCTACTCCCCCTCCAGGCTCTATGGCAGTGTCTCTAGCCACCTAAGAGATCTTAGATTGTGGTTAGACTCCTAAGACTATAAATTGCTAGAAAGAATTGGGTTACTTCTACATTTTTTTTTTTTTTTTTTTTTTTTTTGGTTTTTCGAGACAGGGTTTCTCTGTGTGTAGCCCTGGCTGTCCTGGAACTCATTCCGTAGACCAGGCTGGGCTCGAACTCAGAAATCCACCTGCCTCTGCCTCCCAAGTGCTGGGATTAAAGGCATGCGCCACCACCACCTGGCTACTTCTACATCTCAATCGTTAGGTTCCATCAAAAGGAACTACAGTAAAATAACCTAACATACTTAAACCATTATAACAAGGTATTATCATTATATTATTATTATATTATTCATTTCATTCCTTTGGGAGGGATAGTAGGGCACAAATGTGGATGTCAAAAGACAACTTTGAAGGCGGTTTCTCAACATTGGGTGTTAGGGATCAAACCCAGGTCTGAGGACTTTCAAAAGCACCAACACCCACTGAGCCATCTCGCAGGTCCCATATAATAAATAGCCTATTGCCTACTTAAATGCCACCACTTGCTTAGTACTACGAATAGCACCATGCTGGTCACATAGACAAAAAAAAAAAAAAAAACAACTCATTAAACTAAAATGAAAATTCACAAAGTCGCCGGGCAGTGGTGGCGCATGCCTTTAATCCCAGCACTTGGGAGGCAGAGACAGGCGGATTTCTGAGTTCGAGGCCAGCCTGGTCTACAGAGTGAGTTCCAGGACAGCCAGGGCTACACAGAGAAACCCTGTCTCGAAAAACCAAGAAAAAGAAAAAATCGAAAATTCGCAAAGTCAGTAATACAACAGGTAGATCTGATAGCACTCACCAGGCACTATGTATAACTGTGGTACTATCCTGCCGGGCAGAGTCAGGACCGCTCTTCCAACAAGACAACAGATCAAGCCATCACTGGTTCAGTAATTAGGATGTCATGGTTTTCGCCACCCAGACTCGGAACTCCACAGGCATCTCTTAGGAGCAGCAGGTTGAGAAGTAAAGGTTCCTTCCCATTCATCTTTAATAAAGGGGGAAAGGGGAATTTTTTTTTCGTGAGCTAAAAACATTTTGTGCTCCAGTACTAACCAAAAAAAAAAAAAAAAAAAAAAAGGCTGATTAGTATGGTGGGAGAAAAGTATTTTAACATACGTACCCCACTTACAAGTCTTTGGCTCTTACAAATCTGCTCACGGCATTTTAGAAAGCAACTCATGCGGTAGGCCTGCCAGGCTGCAGGGAGGACAAAGTTGTGTCCAATTTGTGCACCTGGGCTGAAACTGTTCCCTCCTGGGCCCACACTGCCTCGACCTCTCTTCCCCACGCCACTCAGGTGCCCACGCTTAGGACCACGGACATCCGCGGCATAATCACCTTTGCCATTTCACATCTGACTGCCTGTCTCCAGTTATTTACACTGTGGGCCTGGGTGAACAGGGCGGGCCACCAGGCAGGCCCGGACTTGGGAGTCCTGAGGATGGAGAAGAATCTGGAAAAATCTGCAAGACGCAGGCGGAGGGGTGGGGTGGGGGTGGGGAGAGACGACCTAGGGGAAGACTGTGCTCTTCGAAATCCCAGAGGTCCTGGTGTAGGAGAGGAGGGCACCCCTGAGAGCCATCAGCCAGAAAAGCAAATCTTAACAAAACCAAAACAAACAAACAAAAAAAAACAAACCCCTCCGGTACCCTCAGCCCAAGAGCCCCAACCCGTTTAACCGCTTCTCTAGAAAGTTCTCCGCTCCCGCCCCTTTGCAGCCCGCTCGTGCCGCTCCTCCCTGCCCCGCCCCCGAGGCGGATAGGACCAATCGCGAGCCGAGCCGCACCGGGCCCGCCCCTCGGCGTCGCCCCACTCGGTCGCCGCCGGCGAGCGCGCGGATAGCAGTCGGGTGCGCGAGCCTGGAGCGAGGTTCGAGGTGGGCAGCGCCGCCTTCCGCCGCACGCCACCCCGCCGCTCACCCGGGTCGGCGGCCAGAGTGCCGGGCTCGCGCTCGCCCCACTCCCGCAGCCAACGGTGCGCCCAGCGGCCATGACCGCCGAGGAGATGAAGGCGGCGGAGAATGGGGCGCAGTCGGCGCCCCTGCCTCTCGAAGGAGTGGACATCAGCCCCAAGCAGGACGAGGGCGTGCTCAAGGTGAGGGGGCCGCGGAGCCCTCGGCTGTAGGTTCACGAGCCTCGGGGTTACCGCGGCCGGAGGCTGGGGGAATTTGTCTTCCCTGCGCGGGCTGCAGCCCTGAAGACAGCACGGCGGCTGCACGCTCCGGAGGGTGCGGCCCCGGTCCGGGAAGGAGCCCCCACTGCAACGCCAACTCGATCCGGCTGCACTGTGCGGCTGAGAGGGGCGGAGCGGAGCGGAGCGCGAGAGCCGCAGCCGGGGGCCCGGGCGGGGCGCACGAGGCCGGGGCACACCGAGGGACTCGGGCCTCGTCTCCCGGGAACCCCTCGGCTGCAGCGTGCGCCGGCCACCTGGACGAAGGTGCGCCAAGGCTTGCCTACTTGAAAGTTAAACATTAGCTAGGGCCTGAAACGGCTCCCGGGAGCAGGTTCCTGGCCCAAAGCCCTTTGTGCCTTTCCGCGCTCCTTTTGCAATCACGGAGATCCAGCGAGGTCACGGGCTCGGCCATGCTGTGCCCCCTTTCTCGGCCCGGGGAGAGCGAGAGCGATGCATGCCGGGACCTGTAGTTCCTCGACTGCCCCTCCTGAGTCTTTCTGAGTTGGGGGTACTAGGTGCTGGCCGTGGGGGGAGGTGCATTGCCTTGGAGCCAGCGGCTCACTAATCGCCTGACTGCAAATAGCCAGAGGAGCCAGGGGGAGGGCGCCCTGACCCGGGTCGGGACAATGGGCGCCGTTTTAGAGCAGGTTCTACCAGCAGTCCAGCACGGTGAAATCCTAACCCGCATTGCATGTCTCCCTGCATCCATTGTTTCTCCTCCGTGCGTCCCATTGCTCAGCTCTTAGTGTTTGTGGCCTGTGCAAAGCAGAGACCTTAAGGAGCCTTGTTGGTCCAGAAATGCTCCTGGCTTTTTTTTTACCTCAGTGAACATGTGGCCCTTCTTTCTCCTTTGCGCTAGGTTCTGATTCGCAGAGGGAGTCAGTTCCTTTTTTAGCCTCCATTCCTTCGAGGACCCTGTACATTCTTATCGAGGAAGCCTTTCCTTAGAGCATGGTTCCATATCCATCTATTGGTCACCATATATGAAAAAGTTAAACAGAAGTAGATGCCTGCCTATACTCGCATGGGAGATAAAGGACTGACTCCATAGCTTGCCAGTCAGGTAGTTTCCCTTCCCACGTCTAATTTCCAGTGCCTGATACAGAGCCTTTGTGTGCATCTGTAATCTGGCCCTTCCTTTTCCCAGTTTTGACCAGATCTGTTCTTTTCATTACTCCTGTTCCAATCTACTCAAACCAGAACCTGCTCTGGTGACCCACTAGTTTCTATCAGTTTTTTAATTTTTTTTTTTCTTTTAGCCCCTCTGGAGGATAGGGATTGTCTTCAGTGTCTGACCGATAAGTTCTGGATAGTTTAACAACTTGTCCAGAAACCATAGACAAAACTTGAACCCAAATTATATTATCTGCAGTTCTTCAAAGCAGGACTAGAAGGGAGCTGGGAAGGTTAGTTGAACCTAAGCTTAAGTCACTAGTATCCAAATCATTTGAGGATTGAGCTCTCAGACCTGCTGAAAAGAACCAGGGGGCAGTGGCTGCAGCAGAGTCCATCCAGTGTGTGCCTTCGGTCGCTCATGGGCAGTTGGGGCCCTTCTGCCCACATCCCTGGTTACTCACCTCCTCCTTCCCCCCACCCCCAGGTCATCAAGAGAGAGGGTACAGGCACAGAGACACCCATGATTGGGGACCGAGTCTTTGTCCACTACACTGGCTGGCTGCTAGATGGCACAAAGTTTGACTCCAGTCTGGACGGCAAGGACAAATTCTCCTTTGACCTGGGAAAAGGTAGGCTTGGTTAGCGGGCTGGCAGGATAGGCTCTTAAATTGATAGCAGCTGTCACAAACAAAAATGACATTCCCAGCCAAGCTTGAGCTGGGCACAGCACTGCTTACCTATGTTCCCAGCTACCAGAGAGGCTGAGGCAAGCAAGTGAGTCAATCGAACCAGTAGTTCAAGTCAGCCGTGGCAAAATAGCATAAACTAGCCATCAAAAATGAAAAGAGCACCAAAACGAAGCTTAAGAAGGAATGGCTAAGAACCCATCAGTTATCGATCTTGTGTTTTCTTCTACTGTTACGGGACTGGCCGATTTCCTCCTTTCCCATCTCATCGATCCAGCACTTCCCTCACTCTGGGATGGGTAGTCTTGCTTCTTGAACAGTGTTGCAGAGTTGAGCAATCGTTTAATGTCCTACAAACGACAACAATGCTGCTTCTTGTCTCCTGGTCCTATTTCTAGAGATGTTCAGATTCTGCCTGGGTGTAGTGCAGCGCCTGTCTTTGGGGACAGTGAGCCTGGAGTCAGGACCCTACTAAGTGGGTCTGTTTTCCTCTACCTACAGGGGAGGTCATCAAGGCATGGGATATTGGTGTGGCAACCATGAAAGTGGGGGAAGTATGCCGCATCACTTGCAAGCCAGAATACGCCTATGGTTCAGCAGGCAGCCCTCCAAAGATCCCCCCCAACGCCACACTTGTATTTGAGGTGAGTGCTGGCCACAGATCTCCTGGGCAGAGAGCCAGGCTTTATCTCACCCCATTGCCTGGCTGCCCTCCAGCCCTTCCTGCCTCCTGAAGACAATGTAGCCAAGCCCGAGGGCCTAGCTTTAGTAGGAGGAGAGGTGGAAAGGTTAGCTGGCTCTGCTGCCACCAGAGTAACCAGTAATAGAGACTTTGGGTTAGAAGAGGGATGCCAACAGCCCTTCTAGAATAGGGGTGACTGGTACTTTCTCAACTGAAAGGGTCTGGGGTTAGGAAGCATTTGAGTAATAAAAGGCACTGTAGCATATTGGCACCATGGAGCTCAGGAGCTAGTGACACCTTCCTATCAGTTGTTGAAGCAGGACTTCCACTGAGGGAAAGAACTCAGGCTGTTGACTCTGAAAGCAGAAAACCAATCAGTAGGCATGGGAGAATATTCACAAGACCATTGAGATGTCGGGCCACTTCTGATGCCTGCCAGATGAAACAGTCGCGCATCCTTGTTAAGCAGAGCAGGATGATAGAAAGCTCGTCTTTCTGAAGCCAAGTAAAATCTATGTGTCCTGGCCATTACCAGTGACTCTTCTGAGTGGAAAAGAGACAGTTTTACTGTTAAGTTGGTGCAGAAAGGAGTTGGTCACCTCATGTCTCATCATGTAGGTGGAGCTGTTTGAGTTCAAAGGAGAAGACCTTACAGAAGATGAAGATGGCGGGATCGTCCGCAGAATACGGAAGCGGGGTGAAGGCTATGCCAGGCCCAATGATGGGGCTATGGTAGAAGGTAAGAAATGTAGTCCTGCCTCAGAGACTTAACAGCCTCGGGTAGTGTGGACCAAGTGATTTCCTTTCTGTAAGCCTTTTGTCTCGTTCTTAAAGTGAGGAATTAGACCACACAGCCTTAGCACTCCTCCAAGTCTGAAACACGATGGTTATCTTGGGTCTAAACCATGATGTGGGGAGGCTGGCCACTTCCTCAGTGCTCTGCCCTCTTACCCGGGCACTCCCTCTTTCATGCCAGTGGCACTGGAAGGCTACTATCAGGACCGGCTCTTTGACCAGCGGGAGCTCTGCTTTGAAGTCGGGGAAGGAGAAAGTTTGGATCTGCCCTCTGGGCTGGAGGAGGCCATTCAGCGCATGGAGAAAGGAGAACATTCCATTGTGTACCTCAGACCTAGGTGAGACACGGGCACTTTGCAGGACAGAGGGACACAACTGAAAATGAAAGGTGAGCTGTGGGGTAGACATTTACAAGTGCCACGTCCCTGCTGCTACTCTAAGGATGCTGAAAGCATCCTGAATCTTTGGTTGGATCTGAAAGTGGCCCAGAGTTGTCCACATTTCCTTGCATTCATGCCTCATTCAGATCCCTTACCTGCCAACATCCAGATTTTCATATGCCATTAATTTATTCGATTAACATTTGTTGAAACACCACCTCCGGCCGAGCGGTAGTGGCGCACACCTTTAATCCCAGCACTTGGGAGGCAGAGGCAGGTGTATCTCTGAGTTCGAGAGTTCGAGGCTAGCCTGGTCTACAGAGTGAGTTCCAGGACAGCCAGGGCTACACACAGAGAAACCCTGTCTCGAAAAAACCAAAAAGAAAAAAAAAAGGAACACCACCTCCTGTGTGCCACACATGCTATAAAGTCTCTAGGGCTTCAACATGATTCTTGTTTCATTGTCTCTTTGAGTTTGTCATCTCAACAGTGTATAGTTAACGGTTAGGAGCAAGAAGTAGTGAGTGCTGAGGGACCACCTAAAGGTGTAATGAAAAGATTAGGGAAATGTTTGCCCAA